TTTATTATGTTTACAATCTACTTTTGTCACCCATTGTAGCTATGTATGTGTCAACATTTAACATAATACAAACATCTCTCATTCCCTTGAGATGCTTGCTCTCAAGTAACATTTCAACCATTACATGTCTACTCTTCTTTGCCAGTGGTGCTATAGAGCCCACAAGAAACTTAAAGTTGGTATTCAACAGGCACCTAAAGCAACTCTGAGTGTTCTCATCAATTGGAGAGAAATCTTTTGTTATTGTGCTTAGTAATTTTGCTTAAACTTAATACCTTTAACAATGATTGCCACCTATCAATTCTATAAAATTAGGCAACAACTGAATAAGTAGATAATTACATATATAAATGGTTAAACATGCTATGCAAAAGTTGTCTTACCTAATACCCTAAAGTTCTCTGTGCATGCAAAAAAGGCTTATGGAAGTAAACTTTGTTGGTACTGAAACATTAAAAAAAAATTTCAGACAAATGGCAAGTATTCAAAAATTTAATAGTCAATCCTAGTTGTGGGGCTGAGCTAAGTGCTATTTTGTATATCTGCCTTTAAAAAGTCCATTTTACAGTCCATTTTGTTCACTCCATTGCTATATACCAGTGTCACCCTGGCTATTGACCCTTTCACTTCCACAAATGACCAGGAAAGAATTTCTCCCAACATAATCATTACAATATCAAGCAGAAGTGTGATGAGAATAATGAAAATTACTACTTAGGGGATTATTAGTTGCTCCAGTATCAAACTCTCCAAAATAACAACATAACAATTATATGCAGACAGTAAGGTGAATTACTAATGAGATATTGGGAGTGAAAGGGGAAAGGCTGACATTGTTGAGACTAAAACTCTTCTGTGTTTTATCTTCAATACTCCTCTGTTACCAATTTATCATCTCTGTCATTACAAATCATCCTCAAGAGCCTTCCTGTTGTCTTCAAAGACTGCGCAACAAAGCATACAACTGTAAGGTGGTCTACATTATGATTTCCTCAAAACCAACCAAACTGGAGCCATTAAAAAAATTTTAGGTTTATTCTTCATTCAATCTTCACTCAAGGCAGTTCAAATTTTGGCTCATAACAAGAGTTAAATGTCCTCAGCAAAAAGGTGGAAATCAAGCATACTAAACTAATTACAAATATTATTAACAATAACCACGAATAATCTCTGCTTAATACATGTAAGAGTAATGAGTCACCTTCAAAAGAAAACTAACGAAGAGGCTACTCCTCAACAATACTGAGTCTATCCAGCATTCCTCTGGAAAGCTTCAGTACACACCCAATGAAGGTGTCCTTATTTTTTTTCTCAATCGTCCTCACTGGTATGATTGTCCTCTGGATCCACTTTGCCTCTGTTGGATCAAAACATTCTACATTTAGTTCAGCTTTATCATGTTCATTCTTTCCACCCAGGACATACAATTTTTGATTGAGACAAACCATGCTACCATGTACACGAGGAGCATTCAAGCTCCCAACAAGTTGCCATTCATTTGCTGAAATATCGTACACCTCACAAGTTTGAAACAATGAATTTCTCTCTCTGTGCCTTCCACCAGCAACAAAGATTCTCTCTTTCATGGCCACTCCAAAAGCATCGTCTCTTTCTTCCTTCATGTCGGCAATTTCCTCCCACAGTGTCAAATCTCTCAGCTTTCGCAACATATCGACCTTCCGAATGCCGCCCACCAATCACATAGAGATGTCTGCCAGCTGCAACAACACAAGCATCCTGTCTAAAGCCACTGTGAGATGAGAGAACTGTTTCCCATGCACACAACTCAATATTATATCTGATGACCTTGGTTTGCTCTTCACTTGTGTCAAGCTTCCCCACAGCATAGATATCTCCTCTAACGACAGCCATCTTGTAGTAATCATCGTCTACAAAGAGGTCCAATGAAGACCAACTGTTAACAACTGGATCATATCTGTTTACAAATTCAGCAGCAGAAAAAACATACAGCTGACCACGACATTGAACAACGGTGTCAGCTACGATGGGCAACACGGTGCTGTCGGGCGTGTCGGCTAAAAGCTTCCACTCGTTCTTCTCAGGAAGATAACATAAGAAGTACTTTCCTCCCCAAGCCACAATGGCGCTTGTTTCGAACCCTATTCTCGGTGACTGAGTATGGCAAACTTCATCTGAAAAGGTGGCCCTTTTCAACGCATCTATGGCCGTCTTTAAACAAACAAAGTTTTCTTGGACAAATTCGTTTGTCACGACATCAATTAAATAGTCACGCGATAAGAAGTCCAATCGAACGTGACGAAACAACTTCTCCAAAGCTCCTTTCCGCTCACTTTCATTTTGTTCAATCCACTTTAAAATGATTTTAAAAACATCTGCTTCCACTTCGACCGAAACTTCATCACTTGATAGCCAACGTTCCGTTTCCATAACATCCAAGCGTAAGAATTCATGCATTGTCGCTACGGACGAGAAGTTCGAACGGATGAATTTCTGACTATTGTCAATAAGCTCGCCACAATCATATTTCTCGGCAAAATAAAAGGTTGAAATGCAGTTGGACGTGGTCATTTCTTGTTCCAGAAATCGGCCTGAAATTTTTTTCAAATTCGGCATTATCAAGTAGTTACCATGCAGCGGCGATCAATTCCTTGGCATTCTCAGAAGTTACTTCTACAGTTCCTGTGTAGATGAATTCCAATACATCTTCCATAATAGATCCTGAAATCTCCTCAAACCGAACAACCCCTTCTCGATTCTCCTTCATGTCACTCTGAAGAAGTTTGCAAAAGAACGGACTTGCGGCGGAAAGGATATTTCTGTGAGCTTTTAACTTTCTGTCATCGTTCGTCAACAAAGCAACATCGCACAA